AGCTATTGAATACCTTGTTTATAGCCATCTCTGTAATTTTCTACAATATTAAATCACAATAAAGCAAACAACAATTTGTTTGGGACTATTTTAGAAATAGTAAATGTTTGCTTTTAAAATGTGCACTTCAGAAGTAATGTGTCACTTGCACCTAGCTACGTATAGAGAACAGCTTTTCAGAGGCAATACAACTTTGATATCATTGGCCATTACTTACATTCATTTTGTGAACCCCATCATGATTTCTGAATTACAGGCTTTCATTGTGTTCAGGCTGTTCTCTGGGAAAGCTAAAATCAGCTCTGTCAACATGACCAGAAATACCATGTTGGTATTAAACTGCATAGGTAATACCCACGACAAGTAACCGTGATACATTTGCTAATAGATAATAGACATTCATTATCTGCCTCAAATATGAATGCATATTTCACCATATAAATAATCACTTTTAAAACCTAGCCAAAGCTGCAAACTGTCTAATATCACATTCCATTGGCTTTTGCATGGCTAAGGTAAGCAATCAGGGATTGGGAACACACCCTGCAAGTTGTTTATCCTCTCTTCGAAAGGACTCTTTATCCCATAGCTCATTACTATTACATTTGCATTGCCAAGGTTGTCCTAGGATTAAGATGTGTGTGTGTGAGGGAGGGGTTGGGAAGACAATTGTTCAACCCCCTTCCTTTTATTTTATTTATATTATAGCTTTCCCCTAGGAAATCAGTAGCATACATTGCATTCCCTCCTCCAAATTTTCCTCCAGTGAGGTAGGTTGGGCTGAGATACAGCGACTGTCCAGAGTCAGCTATGGCTTCCACCACTCAGAGCAGGTATGGACCCATGTCTCCTCAGCCCTTATCCACCAGTTTAACCACTACATCACATCGTTTCCATTATATGTAGAGTTCTTATTGACAGACTGCATTTTCCCCCTTAACTTTTCAGATAACGCATAAAGTTTTTGAAGGAATAACATCTAAGAAATTTAAAAAAACAAACTGGAAAAAGCAAGTTTATAAGGAGAGTGATAAATGAGAAAAAAGCAATCATCTTTTAAATTTTCAGGCAAATCAGGCATCTGGAGGATGGTGTCAAGAAAACTTTAGGGAGAAAACAGCACTTCAGAAGGTAGCAAAGTTGTTGCACCAAACCACGTTGAAAACCAATGAAATTTGTATAACAGCAGGAAAAGATGCTTAATTTAGTGGTCTAGTAGCAACTAGATGCCTAGATTATGAACTGGATGAAGTTTCCAAAGGCTCTTTGGCAAAAGCCCTGTCTACAACATATCACAATGATCCACCCTGTTACTAAAATATGGGAAACAGTTAAAAGTGTAGCTGGCAGAGGAATGCTTGATTAAATAGGCTTTGTACCTCATTCAAATTTAGGCTTCATTCAATACTACTTCCCAGCTTGCGAAGCTGGTCCTTAAGGGAGTCTGCAACTGATGCAGAATAAGATGATCATCACCTTTTCCTCTGTTTAGTTGCTATTCTTCAGCAATATTTCCATTCTCTCACCTTGCCATGATCAATCTGGGTTAGATGAAAAATACTGCCAGCTGTCAAAAGTAAGTATATCACTTCATTCCTTCAGACAGCTTTAGTGTAATGTAAATGTGGAACAGCATGAAAGAGAAAATAGAGCTTGAGTATTTCAAAGCATAAAACCACAACAGAGTCTGGTCTACTTGCTAAATATAAGTAGATTAATATAATACAACTCCCACCACAATCCAAGCATTCCAAGATAGTTATCAGAGCTGATGGCATCAAAGTCAACTCAATTGTCCAAGATAATTAACAGGTATATAGCCCATCTTTTTTCTTGATACAATTTGGAAATTTCTGGAGCTGAACCACCACATATTAAAGTACAAGTGGTCTTTGCTTAACGACTCATTCAGTGACCATTCAAACTTATGGTGGCGCTGAACGAGTGGTACTTACAGCCAGTCCTTGAAGTTCCAGCCATCACAGCATCCCTGCAGTCATGTGATCACAATCTGGGTGCACAGCAACCAGCTTGCAATTAGGACATCAGTGTCCTGTGGTCACATGATCACCATTTGTGACCTTCTCTGCCAGCTTCTGACAAGTAAATCAACGGGAAAGCTGGCAGGAGGTTGCAAATGATGACCATGCAATGTCCTTAATGATGTTGTGGGATTTGTTTAATGAGGGCAACCAGAAGTGCCAGAAATCCCATTGCTAAGTGGCATGGTTACGTGATGTGCTTTGCAACCGCATTGCTTAGTGATGGAAATTCCAGTCCCAATTACCTTTGTTAACTGAGGACTACCTGTACTACTTATTCAAAGGGAGAATTGTGAAGTGATACTTCAGAGCATTTTTCTAGGACTGGGAGTTTCTAACAAAAGGCTTTATGGGGGTTACTAAAGCTTGTAACGTTGGGTAGCCATGAAAAATTCCCATCTCCCAACAAGAGGTCTTGCTTTGGAAGAGGCACTGTTCTCAGATCTGAAGAATGTATTCCCTCTATATGCCAGTTCCGATCTCATTACTTATTGGCTTCCTTGCTAATTCAATTTTCATTTCTAAAAACAACACATTAGATGCAGTTACATTTGACATTATATGTAATTTAGTCCTAAATTGGAACGGAAGCAAGTTTGTTTTTTTTAAATTCAAAATGCTTAATATTACAAAGAGCTGATATTTGCAACTAGCTAACAATCACCACAGTGGCAATCCCCAATAAAACCCAATCCAGTTTGTTTAGATTGCATTATAGGGATGCTGTATTGTGAAATGTACATTTACTTCTCCATTGTCACTCAGCATAGGATGTAAAGGGAGGTCTATCTTGATAGATCAATTTGTATGTCTTTCTCCACTTATGTTCAGCATTTCAAATTGTCTTGTGTTCCATTACTCTGAGTTTCCTAGTGTTTTGGGGAGCTACTGAAGCTCAAATAAGCAGAAGACACCTAGGATCCACTATTTCCTACCATCTGTAGCATGTACTATATCAACTGGAAGCTCCTCCAAGGACTCAAGAAATAATGTAAGTCAGCTGTTTCCCCAACCCCACAGATGGTCATATGAGCAATTATCCAGTAAGTTCTCAGAATTTTCTAAATTTTAATTAGCTCTGAAATACGGAATATCTCTATTTAAAGGATAGTTCTTAATTCTTGCGTTGTGAGAAAGACATATTTTTACTTTGCGGCTTTGGGGAAATGCCTGTCTCATGTGTAGAGTAACAACCCACTTTCAAAATAGCTGAGGAATAATGTTTTCTGTGTCTGGCTATAGGCACACAACTGAATTCTAACAGCGCAAATAGTCAAGAGAGTACAAAAAAATTATCTGGCTTAGTTCCATTCTCATACCTGAGATTAGGAGCTGTCTCTACTCTAGCATCATCACAGAAGTACTGACGTTCAGTACATCTCTTGCTGAATTCAAGGGGGAAAAAAGACTCACAGAGTTGTAAAGTAAACTTTATTTTTGACATTATAAGCTGAATCACATGGGTAAGATATCGGAATTTTCATTACAGTAATTCTGAATGCTCTTACTTCTTTTATGTTTGCCAAGAGACCTAGACAATATACTATAGACACTTGATAACATTTTAGGAATGTCTAATGTTCTGCAGTTTCTCTTTTCAGGAGAGGCATGGGAGTTGCTGATGTACTCAATATTATATGAAATAAGCCCAACATAACCATATAAGAAGTATGAAATAAGCGCTACAGCAGCATGAGTAAATGGAGGAGTAACAATACTTTAGCGACAGATATTGAAAATGCAATGTCACTGGAATGTCCTAGGCCAGTGTTTCTCAATCTTGGCAACTTTAAGATGCATGGACTTAAACTCCCAAAATTCCCAGCCAGTGGCTGAAAAACATCGGCCTAGGCAGTTGGAAAAGGACACTTTTCACTATCTTGTTCTCCCACTTACCAGATGCACAGGCAGTACCAGAGGCCTGTGAAATGACTGGGTCATTCTCCTCCAATCTAGGGGAAGGAGGGGAAGCCTAAACGAGCCTTCTTGTTTCCCTAGGCATGGATGGACTAGGGAAACATAAGTTCAGCCCAAGTGGGGAAGAGGAAGAAAGCAAAGATCTGTTGAGATACGTGGATGCTACACCAGGACTACACCCTTGAAATCCTACAGTATAAGTAGTCCTTGACTTACAACCACAATTGGGACTGGAATTTCTGTTGCTAAGCAATGCAGTGGTAAAGCGCAACATCACGTGACTGCATTGCTTAGCGACGGCAATCCCAGCACTCCCCATTGCCATTGTTAAGTGAATTCCACCAGTCATTAGCCAAAGACCCACTTCAACCCAAGCCATGCTGGGCTTGGTCCCTCCTAGCCCTGAGTCTCAGTTCTTCCAAGGAAAGGACTGCCCCTCACCCTTCAATTCCCTGCAAATGCCTATTCCCCCTGATCTCTGCCCTTTTGGCTCCCCAGCACCCTGCCTTGCAGGGCAGCAAGCAGCCCAGAACTGTGCAGCTCTGGGGCTGCTTGCCATGCTGCAGCTCAGGGACTTCTTGGCATGCCACAGCTCTGGGGCTGCAAGAAGCCCCTGAGCCACAGCACAGCTTGAAGCTGCAGCCGCCCCTGGAAGCCCCAGCTGCCCCAGCCCAGTTGCCCTTGCCACCCTGTACTCCAAGGCCCCTGCGTCTCCACACTCTGCTGCCCCAGCTGACTTTTGCCATCTTCTTGCTCCCACTGTTGGGAGTACCCACCCTGACCCTTTGCAAGGCAGCTGCTGGCCACGTGAGGCCATCTTCCTCAGGTCTTACAAGGAAACTACCATGCACAACCTTGGGAAGAAAGCCTCGTGTGACCAGTAGCTGCCTCGTGAAGGGCCAGCCCAGGCATGCTTGGTCAGCGGCAGAAGCAAGAAGACAGCAAGGATCACCTAGGGCAGCAGGGGCCACAGAATGCAGGGTCCCAAAAGGGCATAGATGGGGGGAGATAGGTGGATGGGGGGAGTTGAAGTGCCCCTGCAGTCATGGGCAGGCTGCCAAGTGCCCAAATTTTAAACACATGACTGTGGGGGTGCCGCAACAGCTGTAACTTCAGGGATCGGTCATAAATCCCTTCGTTCAACACCACCGTAACTTTGAGCAGTCGCTGAATGAGTGGTCATAAGTCGAGGACTACCTGTATGTTTCTTAATTCATTACAGTATGGATGTTCATTTTTGTAACTGCACTGTTGTACCTCTAGCTCTTACAAATCTATTCTGAATGTGGTAATTGCAGAAAGTCAGTCATGGAAAATGGTGCTGTGATTTTTAAAAAATTGTCTTTGACTATGCACTTATTACAAAGTTTAATTTTAGGGCTTTCTAGTACTTCGCATTCTTGTCTTCTTAATGGAAACTGTAGCCTATTCCCTGTGTTGCAAAATTATTAACTTTTATCTACACGGATTCTATGACTCCCCAGCTTCAGGATTCATACAAAATTTCAAATGCTTAGTTCCAATCTACATTACGTTCTAATATTTTATTTTCCAAACAACCACAATTGTTTGAAAAAAACTGTTAATAAGATTTAACACTTGATATATTCCTTCAGGTAACACTTATAATTTCTTGCCTTTTTAAAAAATAACCCATGCTTCCAATCTTTGTACAAATATAGCTGCAAATAAAGAAAAGTGGGAACAAATCCTTTATAATTGCCTTAAACCATTGTTACTACTGCAGAATGGAATAGGGATCTGTGCAAATCAGGCCTTCATTTTTTGATACTAAGTCTACAGTAAATGAAGATGAAGCTTCATATTGATGGTATAAAGACCCTTCACTGTTCAGAAGAAAAAAACCTATGCCACAGTAAGAAAATGCAAGACATGCTAAAACGTAGAGAATTATTATAATTACTGGTTGTGTTACAATCTTGTTCTAGAATAAACACCACTATGGAATGTAGCACAGCCTTAATCCTTGCATATGACAGTCAACTTCACAGCCACAATGTCCCAGTTCTTTAGAATAAGAGGGAAAGGGATGTAGTGAAGAACTGCTGGATTGATGGTTCTTTCAAAACTTGAAGCCATCACATGGCAGTGGCCATATAAGAAATGTAAATAAGAAATCTATGAACAGCATTAACAACATACCATTGCAGTTCAAAAGAACATATAATATCACAGTCTCTACATCCACAATTGTCAGATCATGGATAAAATTTAATTCTACACAATGTACAGAAATATATGTAAGGGGATGTTAACTTATGGCAAACAATATTTGGTGTGTCCAGGGATCTGTTGTGTATAAAATTTTAGGCAGCTTGCATGCGGACTCTTATGAAAATCTGGAGTTCATAGCTATTGCTAAGATAGATCCATGTTATGGAGAAAAACATACAAGCCCACCTAGCTCAGGTGTATTAAATTTCCCCTGAATACTTAATACATTAAGATTAGTTGGGCAAACAAGAAACTGAGCACAGAGGCTACAATTCAGCATCATGCCCTTAACATTGTAACATTTTTGCCTTGGCTGATTAAAAAGGAAGACAACTCTACAATATGGTTCTGAAAACAATCCAGATGTTAGGGTTCTCCTTTGGCCAGAAATTGCACATCATTTAACAGACTAGAGATGTACTAGTTTTTCTTTGTCTTCTTAAAGCAGGATACTTGGAATATGAAATGTTTACCCTGATTTATGTTTTAAAACTCGTTCCCAGGAATCTCCCACCTGCTTGCTTTTTTCTCCTGTGGGGGATGTGAATCCCCCCAACCCTCCCCCCTGGCTTTTGTCGCAACCGTGTACAAAAGCGAGTCAATGGGCCACTGTGCTGACAGAAGGGTAAAGAAATGTGCACTGACCAATACTTCCTCTTTGCATGAAACAAGCTGGTTTCCCTTCTCAAGGAAATATACAATAGGAGCAATGAAATTTAGGTTCGGTTAAGGTGGGCCAAGTAATAGAAAGACTAATGTTAAGGTCAAGATGAGTGAGGGAAACTGAGCTCCAGGGTATTCAGAATTATTACGTGATTTTTGGTTGAGGGTAAGAATTTCTGAATCTTTCTTTTTCTCCTCCTCCTTAGGTTCCTAGAAAGGAAGGGAGACAGAGAAAGAGAGGAAAAACATTAAGTTTTGATTGGATACATCTCATTTAAATTCTCTCTTCCTCCCCCTTTTTCTGTTGGTTGTTCTGGAGGCCTCCTTTGGGTCAAAGGTGAAAACCTCTCAGAATATATTTAACTGACAGCTGATAATTTTAGAGTCATATAATATTTCTGATTTCAGTTATGGTATACAGTAGTGTAATTGGCATAATTATCATACCTGATACAGTTTTTCAGTGAACATTGTGCTGGTGCCATCTCCTTGAAAGTCCAATGAAGGGGTGAATTGTAGCTGGTCCTGAATCTCCTTATTCTTCTGGTCAAGATTCATCTGAGCCTGGATTGCATTATCTATAATGTAGAAAATATGGAGGAGTGTTGAGGATTATCTGTTTGTACATCCATGATACAAATTCCGAGCCATTGGTTGAAGGCTCTGGTTTTAGCGCAGCAAATATGCTGGTAAATTATTGTATTTATATGTTTCACAGGTGTCTAATCAAAAACTAGCATGTATTTTCCATTCTTCTTTGCCTATACAGAAACCTGCAGTTTCTTTATTCATCCATTTTTGGCTTTAATGCAGGAGCATTTTGGCAATTAACTCACTGTAAATTGCTCTTGATCAAGAAAACTATTCCAGTGTAATATATCACCAGCTTTAGATTTCAGAATTTATTGTTTCCCCAAGTTATGGTAGAATGCATATGGAATTTATCAATCAAGTTTCAGGCACATGTCTTTCTTCCCTTCCAAAGAGGACAAGAAAATCTGATCAAGGTAATAATTAAAACATAACTAGGAAGTATGAAGAATTTTTTTCATAAATTATTTTTTGCAAAGTTAAAAAGGCGAAACACTAATAATCGAAATCAATGTGTAACCTCACTTTTACAATAATGAAAACCGTTATCTTACAAGGCTTAACTTTCTAAGCTGTATAGACAATGATGGAAATAGAAAAAAAGTCTTAAACACACTTTTAGTCCTCAAGTGACTGTCCAGTATTAGTAGAATCAAGAAGCTGATGCTGTTCTCTTTTGACTCTAAATGCAGATGTAATTAATTAATAAGGTAAGATAAGATATGTAAGATAATAAGATAAAGACACAAGAAGCAATATACTGTATAGGATTAAAGGCCTAGTTCCACATTTTTGTTCCAAATTAGGAAAGAAATTAAAGACATTGGGAAAGTTTGAAAGCAGGGAATGGAGGCAAGAGCAAGATGTTTTTCTATTTTCAACATCCTTTGAGATTACAGCAGGGTATAAATGTGATAAATATATAAATGAATAAATCTCATATGCAGTCTCCCATTTCACTATCTTAACTAACAATATCTGACATCTATCCTCCATGAATTTCTCCAATCCTTATGAAAATCCATAATTTGATGGATCTAACCATCTCAATGTCCTTGGAAGAACGGTGAGTTATAAACTGAGTATTTATTGAAGTTTTCTGGCAGTAAATTTCAAACATTTTGCATTGTATGGAAACCTACTTTCATTTGTAAACTACTGCCAATCTATTTCATTGGGAAACTTTTTGGGTTAGACGAATCAAGATCTGCCCTTGATATTCATATTCATATGGACTTACTGAGACATTTGTTGTTGGAAAATGAATGAAGAATTTGATCACAGTCCTCTTTATGATTGCCACTGTTTTTGCAGGAGCACCAAAGTGTGATCTCAGCACTGGAATTGCTCACATAATTGGGGGTCAAAGATGTACCTGTTTCAAATAAAAAAATAATAAAATCAGGTGAACCAGAAGAAGGCAGAGGTAGACCATGTGTTTGTTGTTGCCAAGAAAACTACACAAATGTGTTCATGAAAGTACCAGGAGTCAAGCTAGATTTAAAAGAGACTTACATTTTAATTCTTAAACCAAAAAGCTACATACAAAACCATGGAAATATTTTCTTTAAACACAGAATAAAGCTGGTAAATCACTCTCTTCAGTCAGCACCCTAAGGCTACATAATTCTGATGTGGAAGTAAGCTGGTTAAGTTTAATAAACTTTTGTGAAAATATGCATCCCAGTATTCTGTGCTTTTCCTATACTACCTCTTTGTCAGAGAAATCTGAGTCCATATAGTGTGATGATGGTCACAGAAATGCCAACAACCTATGCCTGGGGATATTCTACATTAAGACACCAGGGACTGCCAATTCATATAAGAGATTACAATGTAAGTATTACTAAGCTAAATCAAAAGATGTATTGACTCAAGCACCCTGTGGTTAGAGCTAGCCAGGCGGAGGGTTATAGAAACTGAGGCTTCTATGATGGATTATGGGGACTCATCTGGACAGCACTGGGTTAGAAAAGATTTTCTATCAGACTTCCCAATATACTCCATCAGACCCAACATGTACCAATCATCTTCATGTAAGCCTGCAGGCACGCAGCATAACTCTGTGGAGAGCAGCCATCTGTGGATGCCTGTAACGATTTGCATTTTTCTTGGAAATCAGCCAGCCGGGACCTGGTAGGAGACAACAACTATCAGAATGACGAACCCTTTTATCAGCCCTGAGAATGATTTATTAGTTTTTCCAGTGTTTGACAGAGTAAATCAGGATTGAGCAACACTTTTTTTAGTGAGCGGTTGCACGATATTTTCCCCACTTTTATAAAAATAATGGAGGACCTCAGGGATTGCAGTGAAACGGTGATGTCACAGGAGTGGACATGACTTGTATACTTGCCCCCTTGTTGCCATTTTTGGATGGGGTCATGTGTTTTTTTTTTAATAGGTACATTGCACCTATCAGGATTGTAACATATCTGTTTCACTGCTCTTTTAGACATTAAAATTCAGGTGCCCACGTGCCATGAAACTTATTAAGGTAATCCTCCCAATAGGCCTGGCATCAGACCTACCTGCAGACACTGTCCTTCAGGCAGGACTCCAGCAAGAAGAGGCAATTGGGCTTGCTGCTGCTCTGGAAAGAACATTCTGGGACAATTGTGTTCCAGCGTCGTTCTCCACAAACTTCATCTTGGCAAGGGCAAAAGAGGAGCCTCTTTGTGAAATCCACATCGACCTTCTCAAAGAAGTGTCTCAGACTTCGGTGGCATCTGCGTTGGTCACAGGGGTATCCTGTGCTGCAAGCCTGAGCATACTGTGAGCGCTGACGCATGCATTTATGGTCCAGATGGCAAATATTAGTGGCTAGCAGGCAGGGATTTGTGCTATCTTCAGCTATATGGGAACCTACACAGAAACACAAGGAGATAATAGTAAACTGCAGAAACAATTTCCCAAAGGAAATTAAATAGAGAAGACAACCTCCAGAACCTCTCCGCAATTCAAAGATGGATTCTTGTCTGCTTAAGCCATCTCTCCTTTTTTTGTTCTTTACCCTATGTCAAATTTAGATAGAAACCTCCTTGAGACAACTCTGTAAAAGTGCCATACACACCACTGGGGCTAATTAAATAAATAATGAACTAAGAACAAAATAAACTGGACTGTTTGAAATAATGCCTCCTTCTTCCCCAAATCTATAATATTTCTTGCATGAGCTGGAGGAAAGCAGGTTCTACATAGGTTATTTAGTCCTTAGCATTTTTGTCAGCAGCCTCAACAACAGTTGGTTAGGATTATGGTTAGCTGGAGCTGCCAATGTGCTATCCATGGGCAACACATCCTCTCAAAGGCTTCTAGCCTCCTTCTGGACTCATGATTCTTCATAATAAAAGAACTGAGCTGGGCAACTGTTGTTTTCAATTAGTCAGCTGAAAAAGAAAAGAATGGGGGGAAAGATTCTTCTGGGGACTGGAGAGAATAGCAGAAAGAAATCTGGGGAAAGCAGTCAAGTATTTAGGTCAGCTGGTGTTGTGGAAGGCAGAGCTGGGAACCCTTAAGAGAAGTGGATGGATGGGGCACATAGCTATATTGGAATGGGTAGCTGTTTGTATGAGAGCTTTAGAGGTAATAAGGTTATGTCTGAGGATTTATAAGGGAATGAGGGACTTGGAAGATGTTGTACTTTTGGTTTTAGGTGGTGGCTTCCTTTGCACTGATTGACAGTGTGAGATATAGTTGTGGAGACATGGATGAGCTTTATGGATGAGCTTCATATTTTGGAAAAATTAATTACAGAATAATTAGAGTGAAGAAAATGTGGCTTCTCTTTCTATGAAAGTAATGGTTTTGGTTAGAATAGAAAACTGGGGATTCAAAGAAGTGTCTTTGTCCTCTATATTTATCAATTTATTATATTTATCAATGTGTTTGGTAATGAAACAGAAGTTTTGCTGTAGCAATCAATGTTATGATTATCTGTGCTTTCTCAAAAATCCAAATGGGTTCACAGGTCCAAAAAAGTTGAAAAAGACTGGGTAGTCTCGCAAGATTTATTATTGCCAACCTGCTTTAAATCCAGTAGCTCGGTGATAGTGATACTAGAATAATGACTTAATCTGCCAAATAGTTCACTAAAATGAAGATGCTCCCATATGTTAATATCTTTTCGATCACCAGCATCTTGGAAGATATTATTTACGTATGTATTTGGTTTTATTGTATTTTTATACTGTTTTTATTATATTTTAACTAATATTTATTTGTTGGTTTTGTTGTAAACCACCCAGAGTCACTTCGTGTTTAAATTTGAAATATAAATAAATACATAAAGGTTACTAGCTACTGAGGGAATATGAAAGTTAATCCAATACATCTCATCTAGAATAAAGTGCACTGGGAACGACTATGTCAGATTAGATTACCTTTTATTCCATTTGATCCATCAATATCTAATCCTGTATCATCATCTTTCTCTTGACTACCTTCCTATAAAGTCGTGGGAATCACAGGTTCATTTATGCTACTTCTTATACTGGTCTCCACCATTTCTATCCTGTATCTTATGTCTGCCTCTATGCCTTTGGTCTTTCTAGCATTAATGTTCTTGAAGCTATCTTTAAAATTGCCTGTACAATATTTGCCTCTATCCCAGATTTATCCTATATACCATTTATAAGAAAAAAGAGAACTGAATTTCTTTATTTACCTCAGTCCTAAGGGATTCTAGGCAATATGCAAAAGGTGTAAATGGTTAATATAAATTCTACCTGAGACTCGAGTTGCCAGCTTCTTGTATTTTGTCTTCACAGTTTCTTCATTTGCTATATCCCTATGGGGAACCATCTCCAAATGAAAGTCATCTGTACAAGATAAAATAATACAATCTTATCTGCTGTGGGTATCAAAAGACTCCCAAGAGATTATGAGTATCCATTTTGTAAAAACAAGAGTTTTAGAAAATGAGCTTGTCTGATCATGGCAAAGTGTACAGTACACAGTTTACACAGTAAACAACACAATTTATTTGGGAGGCAAACATTGTAAGAGGTCAGCTGGTCTTTACATTAACATTATAAAACTTAGTAATTGCTAACATCAGACAATAATATACAGCGAGTAGAATTATGCTCAAAGTTACTATTTAGTCTAAATCAAACAATATGAAACATTTTAATGTTTTAGGTTCTTAGCATAGGTTCCAGAATAATATTGTTTCAATTATTTATATCTGTCCTGGATTTACTAGGTTTTGATTATGTGGCAAAGCACGTGAGGTTACTACGTAAAAGACCCAGCTTTTATCTCCATGGAGGAAAGTACTGCAGCTCCTATGCAAATATATCCAGTAACTTGCTCAGATACAGAGGTCATTTATTTCAGTCCATTCATGCCCCCCCAACTACTTCTGACCTATTGTCAAAGAAGGGCTAAATACTCCAGGATATAATATATATGGAATAAATATATACAGGTGAAACTCGAAAAATTAGAATATCGTGCAAATGTTCATTTATGTCAGT